TGGGAGGGGGGGGGGGTCGGGGAGGGGAGTATGCCCCATCCACCTCCATCTTTTCTTTAAAATATCTTCGTTTATTGGAAAATGGTGAGTCCTTTCTGGTAGATCTTTGTTGGACATATTTCGCATGTCTGCCTCTAGCTCACATCTAGTTGCATTCTTTGGTCTTACTCTCTTTCTTTTTCGCTGTAGATTCCATGTTAGGGATTGACGGGTGAAGCTATGGGAGGGGGGGGGGTCGGAGAGGAGAGTATGCCCCATCCACCTCCATCTTTTCTTTAAAATATCTTCGTTGATTGGAAAATGGTGAGTCCTTTCTGGTAGATCTTTGTTGGTGATAATATTTGGCCATTCGATGCTCAAGATCGTTCTTAGGCATGTGTTTATGAAGGTCTGTACTTTTTGCGTAATGCTCGCCGTTGTTTTCCAAGTTTCTGTTCCATATAGTAGGACTGTTTTGACGTTTGTGTTAATGATTCTGACTGTGGTTTGCAAATTCAGCTCCTTCGACTCCCATATTTTCTTTAAGAGCAAAAATGCTGATCTGGATTTTACAATTCTAGCTCTTACATCCACGTCGGATTCATGTCTTGGTGAATTGAATTGAGTATGTATGTACCGCTTGAATCCATGCTACTTTAGCATGCTCCCAGCACTCTGATATTCTTAAATATATTTCTTTTAAAAGTCTTCAAATGTTTCTTAAATGATTTTTTAAAATCATTTTCAATTTCCTTAAAATATTGGCGCAAACTGTGCCATAATATAATTTTGGCGCTATCGCTTTGAAAGAGCGCATTCCTTATGACTTCTTTCTGTGTCCATCCTCATTGGGAACTCTCAGTAAGGACTGTGTTAAAGGTTCTTTAAGGATACCTGTTTATAAATCAGTTCATAAAGATATTCCGGAGCAGAGCATTCTATACAGCTGTACGCCAGGGACAGAATTTTGTGGTCAATGCGCCCGCTCACAGGAAACCAATGGAGATCCCTAAGACATTGAGTAATGTGGTCAGATTTCTTTATCCGCGATACAATGCATGCTGCTGTATTCTGTACCTTCTAAAGTCCACGAATTCGGTTCTGAGGTAAACCCCACAAACAACTGTTACAGTAATCTAATTTTGACTGGATTAGAGTTACTGTTACAGCATTGGCTATTCTCTTATTGAGTTGAGGACGCAGCTGACCCAGGGCGTGCAGATGACAGAATCATGTCCTGACCACAGAACTGAAACGGGGAATCATCCTACGAAGATTGACGACCAAACAACAAAAAATTGCCTCAGTCTTATCATCATTTAATTTTAGTCTGTTTGATTACATCCATTTTTTAACAAGACGCAAGTCATCGACAGCCTGATTAGCAGCAGCACACTCCAAGGGATCAGGGCGGAAACACGTGTACAGTTCTGTGTCATCCGCAACAATTTGCGTGAAACACAATGGATTTCAATAATTCTGCCAAGCTGGATAGTGTACATGGAGAACATAATAGGTCCTAAAACTTAGCCCTGTGGCACTCCGCAGGTAACGGAAGTGTCCATGGAAGATGCTTGCTTTACAACAATGCACAGAGTCCTGAGTTATTTGGTGCTGCCCAAGTATGGGAACGAATCTACTTGCTCCAGTGTCTTTCCTGCCAGAAAGATATGCCATTGGTTGGCTGAGTTTACGTCATGAACTTCGTATTGCTTCTATTTATGATGAGTCCGAGCTCTGTGAAATGGTGTGTCAAGAATGGGAGTTCGTTGTTAATTTTTGTGTCTGAACATTTTGTTCATCACGTGCTGTGTGTGTTTGAGAGTTTCAATTAGTGAATGCTCTTCCTACGCTTGACACTTTTAGTTATTGAACGCTCTTCCCGTGCTTGACTCTATGACGTATTTTTATGCTGCATGTGATGAATCGTCTAGACAGTATTGTGACGTAAGTTTTAGTCGTGCGGTAGTCTTGAGTGGAAGTATGATGTATATTATTTATGTCTGTTAACGAGCTGCGATACATTGGTGTGTTTTTGAGTATAGATACTTAGATATTTAAGTTGTAATTATTATGAAAAGATCTTGAGTTTATTCAGTGATAGTAAGAATAGTGCGACGCATTTAACATATGAAAGAGCTTGACGAATTAATCAACCTATTAGAACATGGGAGTTAACATGGTGGCTACGTCTTTGGTCTGTTCTTGCATTTTTTGCTGGTTGTGGGACAGAAGTGCTTTGTCGTCTGCAACGCCTAGGTCATTCAATTGTTCCCAAAGTGTCTATTGTATCCCATTCCTCTATTTGTCTGTAATTTTTTTTCATTATCCAGTCAATGACGAGGATGAATAGGAAGAGGGACAAGAGACATAATTGTCTGAATCCAGTTTCCACTTTAAAGTCATCTGTGAATCTAACTTCTTCATAAGAGCTCTGAATGATCCTGACTAGTTTCCCTGGTACTCCATAGTGCCGAAGAATTTTCCACAAGGTTTATCGGTCCAGGCTATCAAAGGCCTTTTCGTAGTCTATAAAATGTATATATAGGGGGAGTTCCATTCGATGGACTGTTCTACAATGATTCTTATTATTGCAATTTGGTATGTGCATGATCTGTTTTGTTCAGTCCGTTGATCCCATAGCTGCATGTCGACCTGTTCCTTCATTCTATTCAAAATAATTATGTTAAAGACCTTTTCTCGTACAGACAGCAGTGAAATTATTTTGCACAATTGATGAGATCCCCCTTATTTGTTTCTTTTCTTTCCGTTAACGATCTACCACCTTTATCTTTAACAGGTCTCTCTGGCCTTTTATATCTTCCTGAAAACTTTCTTGTTATTTTATAGAGTTCTTTCAAGTTGCCCTTCCTGGCTGCTCCTTCTGCTGTTGATGATATGCCTTCTATGTATGCATTTTTATCTTTTATGATGCGTTTTATTACCCTTCGGTTTGCTTCTTTACATCTTTTGATTGATTTATTAAATACTTATATAGCGCAAAGTATCCATGCTATTTTCTCAGTGATAACATCAGGGGCGTCGCAGGGCTTGTCGAAATGATTCATTGTTTAGATGTAGGGGACGCCATCTCCGGGTTTGAATTTAGAGATTCATTCTCTAAGATGAGTTGCCGACCAAGGTTAACTAGTCCCATCCACCCGGTGTGCTGGTGAGGTTTTTTGTTTTGCTTGACTGGGCTTTAGCTGGAATTGAACTCCCGACCACCAACTTGAGATTTTTCTCAGTTTGGACCACTCGGCCCACCGCTGCCTGTTAGGCGTTTGTGAACCGGAAACTCTGGTTCTGGCTGGAATTGAACTCCAGACCACCAACTTGAGATTTGCTCAGTTTAGACCACATCTATTTCCGCTGTCGTTTTCTCCGCCCTGGTGCGGCTGCTGTTAACTACACTTTCTTTTCTTTCCTCTTTTTTTTTTTTTTTTTTTTTGTGTGTGTTTGTGTTTCATTTTTTTTTTTTTTTTTTTTTTTTTTTTTTTTTTTTTTTTGTGTGTGTTTGTGTTACATTAGAGCCAGACGTTGTATTTTTGCTTCACGAATCCGAAAAACTTTTGGCAAGTTGACGTTACAGTAATCTTTTTTTTTGCCCTTTGTGTTATACTTGGTCATCTTCTGTTTGGTCTTTTAGTGCTTGGAACTTATTTCTTAAGGTAGCAGTGAATTCTTCTCGTTTCTCATGATTTGCCAAAAGTGCAATGTTGAATTTTGTTCGTTCAGCAGCAAGCTGTTCCCAGTTTTTCTTTAGTTTTAACTTTAGACTGGCCAAAGCAAGATGGTGATCTGATGCGACATTGACTCTTCTTTTTGTTCGTACATATTGTAGAAACTTTCTAAATTTTTTGCGAACACATATAAGATCTTTTTGGTTTTGTATTTTGTTGTTTGGGGATACCCATGTAATCTTGTGGATGTTTTTATGTTACATTTTGCAAAATGCCATAACAAGCTCATTGTAAGTTCTCATTTCTGCTGCCACCTGTGCTGCTTTCCCTGCTTCTTACAGGGTTCTTTATGTTCTAAGTGCCTATGTGTTTTTGTCCTTCGAAAGGAGTATCTTCGGCTTTGGGACTTCCAGTATAGCCTGGGTTTGGCCACAAGGCTTCATAACTCTACTTGAAGAATAAGAGTTTTTTTTTTCTTGTTTGACGTTTCTTTAGCAATTGGTTTTACTGGTGAGGTGGCTAGCCTAACGCCAAAACTCCTCCTTTTGAACCCGGCCTTTTCGAAATTTTACTTGTGTTTGTTGACACACAATGACTTCAACAAACTGGCTATAACAAGTTCTTGAATAATAAATTGCAGTTTATTATTTAATTTCAGTTTGATATTTGCTTTCAGTTTGATATTTACTTTTAGTTTTATAAGATACTAAACAAACCATGCAATCAAGTAAAGCCCTATATAAAATTCCAAAAGAATGCTACCCTACTTCTCCGGTACGCCTACGCTTAGACTTTTTTTACACGAACCCTACACTTTTTACACCACAGATTTATTACACAAATAGTTATAACCAGTCATAGAATGGTGATGGCTGTGCGTGTAATTTTTCAGTTGAACCCAGTTTTTTTTAAAAAATAATTTGCAATATGGAAAATTAAAGAAATTAACTTAATGCGCAGCCGTTTGTCATTAGAAATATTGTGAAAAGATCAAAATACAGAACATTATGTGCTTTTCATCTTTTACTACTACCTTGTTTACTAATGTGCTTAAGGTGTTTTCTCCTTTCATAAAACTTTGTAGTTAAATGTGTTTAATAATTGCAAGGCCACACACGTCACACATCATGTTTCACGCAACACTTAGGGGTTTCGTTTAACTTATTGATTTACACGGTATTATCTTTTGGTTGAGAGAGTTTATTTTATTTTTAAAAAATCTTCTTCAATGTGCTGCAAACCAGGAAGTCAAACGTCAGAGCAAGATCGAACGACCGTTTCAACCTACTGGGTTATGCAGTTGGATTTGCCAAATGTGCTATTTAATGGGCCGTTTAACTATATGTGCTTACTGGCTTGTCTGTTTAAACAAAAATGAAAGTAGCTATGTAAGCAGAAGGATTATGTACTTCTGTTTTTGTTGAAAATCGAGGCACGTAGGTAAGATATGTTATTGATCTTATCTAGTTAATTTATCTATTTAAACCAAGCACGTTTACATTTGATCAACACTTTAAAAAAATGTTGTTACTGGAATATAAGAATAAATAAAAATTCGAATTTACAATGTGTCTTGTTTTAGGCATTTGGAGAGACAGAGAGAGTTGTAGACAGGACAAGATAAAATAAAAATGGGCGATTAAATATATATGTTTGTATTTTGTATTTTGAAAGGTAGAAGATACTGGATTATACAAGGTAATTTTAAGTTATTCAAGTTACAGATTGCGATTCACTGATTTAACACCCCAAAACATTAAGGTGTTATAAAGATCTATAAACAGTTTTGCTCTCTATATATTTAAGATACATTCGTTAATTGTAAAATAAAACAATTGATGTTATTTATGCAATTTATCAGGGGCTGTCATCATTTTTAAAAATACACATTGAAAAAAACTCAAACTCTTCTCTAACTACCTACCTCACCACCCCCACCCTTCAAATCTATTGAAAGAAGCAATTATTATTCCTTAAGGGGCGGGTTCTAGTTAAAATAAAACGTATAGACTATTGGATTATTTTAATGTTGCTCTAATAATGTTTATATTTTCTTACATGCTTTGGGACGTTGCTGTTAATAAAAATTAATCACACTATAATTAACGATAATATCCATGATCAATCTTTTCAGAGAATATGTCGTGAAATCTGAGGTCAGTGTATCTTTGGCACCTGTCTTCGAAGAGATACAGAAATATTTTTCATGGATTAACAATATTATCAGATATTGACCAAACATTTCTTTCGTATTGATCATTTGAATGATATAAACTGAATACTGTAAATTGCTGGCGTTTCAACAGGACTGAAAGTGGATTAAAACTAAAACTTTTTGACAATTAGACAATTAGAATGATTCATATGAAGTATACAAAAATACTAATTTTGTATACCTTTTTTCTTATTGGACTTGGAGAGACAGGTATGTAATTCGTAGAGCAACAATAACATTAGATTTTAAAAAGTAAAATTCGTGAAAATTCAGAGGATAGATTACCTTACGTTAATTATAAATCATTAATGAGACATGTATGGAAAAGACGTTTTTATTTCAGCATGTGATACTGGATGGTTTGGTACAAATTGTGAGTACAAATGTCATTGTGCACCAAATACTGCCACATGTGACATTAATGGAAAGTGCTCGGCAGGAAAATGTGCATCAGGATGGTTTGGCCCAGCTTGCCAATACCGTAAGTAGCCGGTTATTTGATTTAATTTCATAGACAATAAAATCCCTTATTTAAAGCAAATTATAGATTCAAGAAAGAAATTAGGATCATGATGTATCAATTTATAAAATGAAAAATAAAAAACAATAAAACTGACATTTCGAGTGATTACATTCAACCATGAACAAAACAAAGTAATAGAAGCCGAAATGGTCATGATTGATTTCGAGGGACGACCTAACACATTCACAAAGTTGGAACGAAATCTCAACAATAATTTTTAGCTAGACCGTCATTCTTATTATTAAAATGTCACAAGTTTATTTAAAAAATAACCTCTTTTAAGAGAATTCGATAAACATTATCTTATACCAAAATCAGTTTTCTACATTAGCTTTCTGCCATATTTATAAATCAGAAGCAATTTTCGCTTGAAAATAAATACCTTTCTATCTCAATATTTTCATGATAGTTATTAATTTCAGAGGATTTGTATTCACTGTCACAGATTGCCACAAGTGCATTGAGAGTTTCAAACCTTACTGACGAAAATAACGAACAATTTTTATTTTTGTAATTATAATTAAACAAATAATAGAAAAGTTTTCTTCCTTCAAGAGTCTTACATGTAAAAAAAAAAATTATAACTATTACTCAAAAGTTACACAAGATATTCAACAAATCAGCATCTTTCAAACATAAAGTTTTTTATTTTATTAATAATTTAGAGGACCTTTTTTCACAACCACAAGTTGCCACAAGTTCTCTGACTGCTACAATCCTAGCAGACAGAGATGACAACACATGTTTAACAACTAATACAGGAAATTTGACAGTTACATTAAACATGATTTATCCCATTAATTGGATACGATTAGTTGTGAAAAAACCAGGTAAGTGGTAGAATAAAACAATCGTTGATATTTTTTATCGTTTGAAATGTCTTTTAATATCTACCATGATTGTGTTAGTTTTTCTTTCAAACATTTTCTCCCGCGGCGCATTTCAGATTTTCGTGGTGGGGCAGTGTCAGGTTCAAGTGGGTAGTGGCAAGAGACGTAGCTAAGCGTGGAAGAGGGGGCGTACGTGCCTGGCAACAGACTAGCAACGGCTCCAAAATGGACTTAATGTATTTGATGGTTGAATATAAAGTGTTTTTTTTAAGAGTAGGGTTTTGGGAGGGGGGGGGCGTAAAAATAAATCATATCCCCTTACGCCAAACATTAGCTACGCCCTTCCAGTGGAATAGAAAGGGAAAGGATGAGGTTGTTCATCTTTATATAGAGGTGCAGCTATTTCGGACAACTGCAGATTTTGTAATGTGAAATGGAGAGCAGCAACAATATTTGACCCAAATGATGGCATTAAAAAAGGCTAAGCCTCCAGGCAGTTTATCTCTTGTCAAAAAAGTTATAGAACATTTTCTTCAGGGTGAAGGGTAGAAATCGAAGGCACCGATGAATATTTCTATAATTTAAATAAATAAAGTTATAACAAAGATCATGATGGTAAACCCAGCAAACCAATAGCAAATCTCTTTGGTAAAATGCGCGGGAACTAGTTGAAGCCTTCAAATACTCATTAAGCAGCATTGACTTAAATGTTGGATCCAAAGCGAAAAAAAAAAGGACTAGCATTGTAAAGGCTAGATCAGCATTTGTGCTATAAAGAAAATATGGGAGTCAAAGGAGCTGACTCTTCAAACTAAAATCAGAAATTTTAACACAAATGTCAAATCAGGTTTACGGTATGGAATTTGGATAACAAAAACGGGCATCACACAAGAACTACAGACCATCATAAACACTTGCCTAAAAAAATATCCTGAAGATCAAAAGGGCAAACACCATCACCAACAAAGACTTAATGAATTGAACATATCAAGGAGCTTATTGCCAAAGACATCATCGTGTAAGATGGATGTGGATAGGGCACAATCTACCCAAAACCCCAGATAACATCTCTAGACAATCTCTAACATGAAATCCACAGGAAAAAGATAGAAAGGAAGCCCCAAAAATACACGGAGAAGTGAGCTAGAGGCAGACTCACAAAGAATGGGGCACACATGGAAGCAACTGAAAGGAACATTAAGGGCAAAGATTAATCGAAAATTCTTGTTGACGCTTTACGCCCAAGACGGGTAAAAGGCATACGTTCTTAAAGAAGTTAAATCTTTTAGCGTTGGAAGGTATGGGGAGCATTAACATTTATTGCAAGAATTGTTATTATTATTTCAAGTTCAAGTAGCGCATTTTGGTGTATAGTTGGATTCAATGTTTCTTTTAGGCTGTTTGATCAGGGGAAGTAAAATTGTAAGGGTCTAGGGAAGCATTATGGTGCCAATGTCATACATAACTTAATTCACATTACTTGCAGCATGCCCTAGGGTAATCATTTGGCACTAGATTATTTTCAACCAATACTGTAACATTGTGAAGGAAGGGGTGCAGAAATTAAGAGTGCTGAAAACATTCTCGCAAATTTGAATTGAAGGGATGCATTTTGGCATCCTGGGAATATGAACTAAATTCATTCGAGTTATGTTTCCCTTGAGGTTATGCATTTTCCCTAGCTTAATATCGCCTATTAAATCATTTTAGTCCTCGAGTAGGTTATGACAAATTCAAAATTTAAGAATGCATTTTTGAAGATACTTTAATGCAGTTTTGCAGCATTCTACTTTTGGAGAACAACGGAAAAGATAATAGTTTAAATATAATGTAGTTGGCTTTTAACCTTAGAAACATCTTTTGAGCCCAGCAACCTCTACGACTTCAGTAGGCCTTGGATATCTTAGGGGCTTAAAGATGTGATGTGGATATTTTCTTACTTACCATTTTCAATGCAAGGAAGGGCAGGACAAAGCCAACAGATGACAAAAATGGCCTAGAGAATTTGAGTGACGGCTCTTCATGACCTGCTTGTGTTCCGCAATTTTTTTTTTATCTTACCAAATTTGAATGTGGCTTTCATGTTTTATTTAAACGTTTTGTGGGCTTAACTCTATAGTTAGTCAATGAATTATTAAAGGAAAAAAAGGGTCCATCACATAAAATCCTGCTTACATCATTTCACGTGTGATAATAACATCTGTGAAACATTGTCAAGTTTACCGGGGTAATAAAACAAAACTGTAAGGTAGAACGGTCTAAACATATTCATGTGTTATCAAAACTGGTTATTCTTAGCAATCGTATATGAATGACATTATTATGTAAATGAGACATTATTATTTTTACTCAAAAAAAGGTGGAATCAAATTTGATTTGCAATTTCAAACTACAATAACTTTTTTCAGATAAATTACAAATTGCCACTTAGATATACTTTGAAACATTTTATTACCAAATGAAAAAAAAATATATATATTTTAAATTGAAAAAGAATTGAAAATTGAAAAAAAAAAATTAAATAACTACCAACAAAAAATGGAATTGGCATGATAATCGAAATGCTGGTTCAAAAAATCTGATTTTTTTAAAGCTCTCTGATATATTCTTTTCTTGAAAAAACATATTTACTTTATAAAATCAGTGCAACTAGCCGGGAGGAAATTTCCGTGTTTTTTTTCCAAGGGGTTGGGGGGTGGGGGGCCGCAAAATTTGGTCTACTTATTTATTATTGGAGCAATTTATAAAAAACAACAACCTGCAAATTCAGTTGTTGGGGGTGGGTGGTGAATGCCCAACCATACCCTACCCAAATGTCGTATTTTGCAACAGGATACGAAATATTGCATATTAATCTGATTTTGAAAGACAAAAGAGTTAAGAAATTAATAAAAATAGGCTAATTTTTTAAACCTCTGTTGTTCAGGAAACTTTGTTACAAAATTAATCCGTTTAAAGTAAACAAAAAACGCTTTCGGTATAATAATTGATGAAATGTGCATTGTTTGTATACCACCGTTAAGTCTTTATTAAAAATATATCTCCAATTTTTGTATAAGTTTCCATATTATATAATTCAACATTCTTGGAGTCGAGTACATTTATAATTAAGCTAATATTTTTTAAAAAATATAATTTATAATTAAATTAACACCTATTCCCACTTTTAAAGTAATGCTTTTATAATAGTATATAATTTGAACATAGCGTATGTTTGATACTTAGCAAGACCCATATTTGAATTGTACTCACTGATACTGATGTAAAGCTAGTTAATACGGTGTTGTTGTTTTTAAATTTGTAAAGTTGCAAAAAAAAAAAAAAATAATACAAATAAAAATAATAATCATAATACCGATAAATGCGAACAACAAAGTAAATATTCGACTTATAACCAAGGGCGTGGCCAATACCATATTTTAATCGAATATTGTTAGTCTTTAAAAAGATTGGCCTTTTATATATGGATCATCAAATATATCCAATCTAGCGATATTTCATCGATTCCAATAATCGGTTAAAGGCATTAGATAATATTCTTTATAAAACTGGTTACAAAATACAATTCAGTTGTTTTAATGTATTTTAACAATTAAAAAATCATGATATTTTTTTATTATTTTTTTTACACATTTTGCTGCTCGGGTTGGGGGGGGGGCAAGTGAGCTCACGGAGATATGCTTGAAAGAAACACTGATGTGTTATAATATAAAGTATATAACAGTTATATACATTTAAACTACACGTTTACGCACCTGCACATATTGATTATCACGTTGTCTGTAAAGCATTTAAAAGTTAGGAATTTGTATTTTTAAAAAAATAAATACTTTCAGTAACGTGTATCTAATTACATAAACTGTTTGTTCATATTTTTCATAATACAGATAGTATAAAGTAACATCATAGACTTTTCATTTGATACAATAAAGTCAATAGACATCCCTTTGAAAAAAAAACCAAACATGTATTTTAGCTATTAGGCCAAGATTTGGAAAACTTTGTGTTTGTACGGCCACATCGACAAATGAAAAGCTATTGGAGGGCCATATTAGCAGCACATTACGAAGGTCAAGGACTATTTACAAGAACGGAAATGGAAGGAAATTTTCTTTTAAAAAGTTAAAACAATCATAACGGTACACGAAATTCTGTAAAATAAAAAAAAAAGTTAACTTAAAATCGAATAAATTTTATTTATTTCTAAAATGTCCTCGAGGGTTAGCATAACGTCAACTGCATGTGGCCCGCGGGCCGTCGTTTGCTTACTCCAGTATTAGGCTCATTGTGCATGAGATATATTGAATTTTATTAGTTTAAAAGTTCCATTTGATATGCGTTGCAATATATTCTAGACTTTCACAGCTCGAACTTTGTGCTTATTAATTTATTGAGCTTTTACCCTAGAAATAAAAGGCTATCGCCAAAATAGAAAGACTGTATAATGCGACTATGTAGCGAGGACGTTTTTAAAAGTGTAACTTATATTTTGTTTTTCAGATCAGTTACATAATATTACAATATCTTTCCATGACACACAAAACAGTGTTACAACATGCGGTAGAACTGTAATACAAGACAGAACCATGGACATAATATGTGAGGTTATTATGACAATAAACAAAATGAGCATTATAGGAGACGGCGTCAATTCACTGTGTTCTCTTTACATTAGTGGAGGTAGGTCTTTACATTAGTGGACGTAGTGGTTTACATTAGTGGAGGTAGGAATTTACAATAGTAGGAGTAGATCTTTGCATTAGATGAGATACGGCTTTACATTAGTAGAAGTAATGCTTCACATTGGTGACGGTAAGGCTTTACATTAGTGGAGGCAGGTCTTTACATTAATTGGGGTAGGTCTTTACATTAGTGGAGTTTATGCTTTACATTGGTAAAGTTAGTCTTTTAAAGTAGTGTAGGTATGTCTTAGCATTACCTTATCGGAGAATGGTCTTTTCATTAAAGGAGGTATTGCCTTATATTAGTGGAGGGAGTTCTTTACATTAGTGGAGGTAGGGCTTTACATTACTGGAAGTAGGTCTTTCCATTAATAGAGGTATGGCTTTACATTAGTGCAGGGAGGTCTTTACAATAGTGGAGGTATAGCTGTACATTAGTGGAGAGAGGTCTTTACATTAACAGAGATATAGCTGTACATTACTGGTAAGGAGGTCTATTCATCAAAGGAGGTAGGGCTTTACATTAGTTGAGGGAGGTATTTACATTAACAGAGGTATAGCTGTACATTAGTGGTAAGGAGGTCTATTCATTAAAGGAGGTAGGGCTTTACATTAGTGGAGGGAGGTCTTTACATTACTGGAGGTAGATCTCTACATTAGTGAGAAATTGTTTTATATTATTGGAGTAGGTCTTTACATTGACGGTAGTATGTCTTTACATTAGGGAAGGTAGGCTTTACATAAGTGAAGGTAGGGCTTTACATTAGTTTAGGTAGGTCTTTACATAAGTGTAGGTAGGGCCTTACACTTGTAATGTTAAGGCTTTGCATTAGTGTTGGTATGGCTTTACATTCGTGGAAGTAGGGCTTTTCACTAGTGGATTAAGGGCTTTCCATTAGTAATGGTAAGGCTTTACACTTGGCAACGATATGATTTTACATTCGTTTAGGTAGGGATTTATAATAATGGACATATGTCATATATTATTGGACGTAGGTCTTTACATTAGTGGTGACAGGTATCGACTTTAGTGAATGTATGGATCCATATTAGTGGACATAGGGATTTACATTAGTCAAACTAGGGCTTTAAAATAATGGAGGTAAGGCTTTACATAAGTGGAGATTGAGCTTTACATTTTTAAAGATAGTGATTTACTTTAGTGGATTTATGGATTCACATTAGTGAAGATAGGGCTTATAATTAGTGGAGGTAGGTCTTCAAATAAATTTTATAGTGTTTTACATTAGTAGAGGTAGGGTTTCATATTTGTAAAGGTATGATTTATCGATAGTAGAGTAAGGCTTTATATTAGAGGAAGTAGGGTTTTACACAATTGGAGGGTTGGTTTTATTTAAGTAGAGTTATAATTTTACATTATTTGAGGTAGGGCTTTACGTAAGGGGAGGTAGTGAAGGTAAAAAAATAATTTAGGAAGTAGGGTTTTACAAAGTGGAGATGTAGCTTTACATTAAAGGAGGTAAGGCTTTACATTGATTTAGATAGCGATTTACATTTGTTGTGGTGAGGATTTACTTTAGTAGAGGTAAGGTTTTACATAAATGGAGGTAAGGTGTTACATAAATGTAGGTAAGTTTTTACATAAATGGAGGTAAGGTGTTACATAAATGGAGGTAAGGTTTTACATAAATCGAGGTAGGTCTTTACATTAGTGGAGGTATGTCTTTACATAACCAAGACAAAATATTTTGACGTTTTGGCTTCGAGCCTTCATCAGAAAACAAGACAAAAAGATGTACAACAAGAATCATATCACAGTAAAAAAAAAAAAAACTTGAAGGATTGACTTTTTGTTGCCAGAAGTAGGTTTACAGGAAGTGAAATAATGTAAATATTGGTACTGTGAAAAATAAGGTAGAGATTTTAACGAACAAAAATATTTAGTGATGCATAAAATCAAAGGAATAAGAAGGAAAGCAAAAATACAGGGAAATTGAGAAACATTGGTAAGAGATTAATTAATTTATACCATGTGGAAATATTGTACCAAAAAGCTGAATAATGTTTTTTTTTCCATTTTCACTCTCTTTGATGTGTTAGTGCACGAAATTAATGCCGTAATAGTTATATCTAATACACCTTTATGTTGACATCTAATGAAGTGTGAAGAGACTGGGGAAAGTTTACCTTGTTCAATATCCCCAACATGTACTGTGAACCTATCTCTGCTAATCATCTCTCTGTTTCGCCTATATAACTTAAATGACATCTATGGCACACAATCACAGATATCACATTCCGACTAACGCATGTGAACCCCTCTTTGATGTAAAAGATACCTTTAGGGATGCGAACGTTTTTTGTTTGGAGTGTATAGGGACACGTCCTACATCGGCTTCTCGAGCAAGGATTAGTCCCAATGTAAGACGGGTCAGCTCGAATGCTGCTGTGAACCAGAAGATCACCTAGATTTTTATCTCGTCTTAAGGCCATAAAGAGCAATAGATTGGTCGCAAAAAGTGACTGAACTATGACATTTCCTTTTCTAATGTTCAGTTACATTAACTTAGTACAAATGTTAGGATATTTTTTTCTTTAGCACTATGATGTGCAATAAAGTCAAACACTATAACTTATCCATAAGTCACGTTTTTTTTACTAGGATCATGTGGTGTAATATACATCTCTGGAGAGATTAGACGCAGCGTTGTTACTCGTTGACTCAACTGAGGTTAGGGACCTTTTAGGGATGCATGGGTAGGTCATCTATTGTGTCATTCAAGCTTATTTGGCATTAGCGGTGGAGACTTAAGGTTTTTAAATTTCGTTGGTAGTTTCAACCATTTTCGACATGTGGCCAAATTTTAGAATACTTTGAGGTCAGTACACTTGGTTTACAAGTCAAATCTTGTTTTATCCTTAAGATTGTTCCATCTTGTAAAGGGTGGTGATACTTAACACCTTTTCTGATGTCTTAATAATGTTTCTGTGACTGTTTCTAGGAATCGAAGTGTTTCTAGTTGCCTAAAATTCATGTGCCTTTGGAGTTAGGATTTCAATGGATGAAGGAAGAAGTTCGTTGGTGTTCGTCCTGTGAAAGGTTGTGATAGAGATACATTGATAACCGCCAAAAGAGTTTTTGTGTACTTCAGTCAAGTCAAAACGTATTTTTACTTTTCTTCCACCCATGTTTAAATGCATGCTTGGTGGTATCACTATTCTAAGACCATTGTATAGTATGCCATTTGACTTTGTCTGTGGATCACGTAAGAGGATCATTAGCTAAATAGACTTGTGTCACAATCTTTTCATTAGCTAAATAGACTTGTGTCACAATCTTTTCATTAGCTAAATAGACTTGTGTCACAATCTTTTCATTAGCTAAATAGACTTGTGTCACAATCTTTTCATTAGCTAAATAGAATGTTGTCACAATCTTTTCAGTAGCTAAATAGAATTGTGTTACAATCTTTTCATTAGCTAAATAGAATAGTGTCACAATCTTTTCATTAGCTAAATAGAATGTTGTCACAATCTTTTCAGTAGCTAAATAGAATTGTGTTACAATATTTTCATTAGCTAAATAGAATAGTGTCACAATCTTTTCATTAGCTAAATAGATTTTGTCACAATATTTTCATTAGCTAAATAGAATTGTGTCACAATCGTTTTATTATTTCTTTTTTTTTTTTTGCACATCATCAAAATGACAGATTTGATGATACATTAGTGGAATTGGAAGACGAACTTATGATTAACTCGTGTAGTTTAAATTGTATTTTAGGAAGAAACGTGGCAGTAAAGCAAATGACGTCACAATCAAGTATTTACAGCGAGAGCGGTATAATACGTTACTCCAGTCTTGCTGTAGATGGGAATTCAGACTCTGATTTCTCAATAGGCAGCTGTTCACATACATCTCCGGATGAAGCTGCTTCTAACTGGAATGTGACGTTCTCCAGACCGCAACTTGTAAACAGATATATTCTATACAATAGAAGAGACTGTAAGTTCTTCTGTAATATAAAAGCTGAAAAATTTTTTGGAAGAGACGTTACACGTTATATATTTCCGTAAATTAAAACCATGGACCAAGGAATATTAAATTTGTTGGGAACCGTGTTCTTATAAGACCAGAAGATTTATTTAGAATGAGTTGAATTAAGACAGAGAGGTCAGTATGATATTATGAGAAATGCGTGTGGGCAAGATATTGCCTTGAATGGGTGAATATGCCAGTGAAGGCCTAAGAGAACTTATATATAATTTATTAGTTCATTATTGATGGGTGAAAAAATATTATAACGTGCACTATTTTGCATGTCTTATTGTTAGTTGGTTTTAGGTAGCTTATGAATAATTATAACATACTGTTTAATTGTGTGTTACTTGTTAGTTAATTCAATTTCTTTCCACTAATTCCTTGTAAGTATAAGTCTAAAGTTATGTATCCCATTTTGTGATTAACGTATTGTTTATGACTAATTAATATGATTAAATTGATTATATATATAATGCAAATACGCTTAGTTCTATTATTACTGATGATAAAAAAAAAAAGTAATCTTAAAAAATCATCAACTTTCAAATGCTATGACTTATTCTGCGCTGTTATGATTTCAGTTCAGGAAAGACTGCTGAATTTCTCCCTCTCAAGCTTGAACCCGGACAAAGGCGTGGTCTTCACCTACTCCATCCCTCCAAAAGTACAACTGATTTACGCCGTGACGTCATCTCCGGAACTTGTTTCATTTGTTAAAATATTCACCAATGTCACCCAAATCCTAACCTTGTGTGAAGTAGAAATCTACGGTGGTGAGTGAAATATTTTTTTTTTATTGATCCCGGAATAATAGCCTTAGTAAAAATAAGTGCATAGTATTATTATTATGAAAGTTGTCTTATATAGCGCCAAAGGCGTAGCGAGGGTGTTTGGCGCCCGGGGACAAGATCCATTTTAAAACGTCCCCTTTTCTTTTTTTCAACTCTCAAACCCATTATTTTTACCAATAATATAATATCAAGGGACATTTTGGCGCCCCTAACTAGCTTGCGCCCGTGGACATCTGTCCTCGCCCTGCCCCCTCACTACACCTCTGTATAGCGCGGTATCCCAGCCTCGGGCCAGGCTAACCGCGCTTCACATAAAAATTATTAAAAAGGAATTAAAAAGAAACAAAACATTAATAAACTGTTACGTAAACTTATTCATTTAAAAAAAAAAAAAGCTGTGTACAAATATTGAACTCACCAACCCAAGTACTATTGACCAGTGTCTGGCCATGAACGGCACCAAGCAACATCGATCGTTGTTTATTGGTCAGAGTGGGCTTAGAATCAGTCGGAATAGTAGAGTTTGAAGAGATCCTGTTCAAAAACTGAGATAAAGAATCATTTTAGAAAAATTAAACATTTACATTTACTGATGTGATATCATTCCACGATCTATCAATATGTATTGAGTTAAATTGTGTACCTGGTTGTTAGCAGTATATTAGTTACAAGTTGGTTTATCCTATGAAGCCTTTCAATATGTTTATACTAGAAGTGAAACGAGCAGTGACGGTGTATAAAATCAGAATCACATTTCGTTTCTTTTTGACAATGTAATTTTAATAATTCCATGCTATTTAAATAGTAGGTTTTTTTTAGATTAATTCTTTGATAAAATACATGCTAATAATAAAAGAAAGACTCCCGGAAACGGAATCTTCCTCCAACAGCTGACAGGATTTAATCTGAATCAAAATTTATTAAATGTACTAAGTTAAGGGACATAACTATTAAAATGACAGTTTTTTTAAATCCTAGTTTACATGCCATACGCTGTATTCAGTAATTATATGGTTAACTTGTATGAATATTTGATATTTTCTTATTATTTTATACATTACTTTATGGTACCAGACTGTCGTGTAACTAGCCACCCGCCTTTCTCTTCACTTCCTTCACTCCATTTCGTAATGATTCACATGTTAACTCTCTAAATAGAAACTTTTTGTTGACATTTCTTTCTCCCGATTGGAAGATTTGCGTTACTTCTTAGACCAGTGGTTCTTAACCTGGGTTCAATCGAACCTCAGGGGTTTCGGTGAGTCAATCTCAGGCGTTCGGCGGAAGTCAAAAAAAAAAAAAAAATCAGAAAAAAAAACATATTTTATTTTTCCTAATAAGAAGTGTTCGGTAAATGCGCATATGAAACTTGTGTGGTTCATCATCTCCAACAAGTTTAAGAACCACTGTCTTAAACTATGTCACTGACAAAATCTCAGATTTGGGAATTAGTTCAGAAATGTATGGATTCAATCCAGCAATGTCTGCCTCTAAAATATTTGTGTGAATCTATTTCATTATCGTGTGACAACGTACACCAGGATTTTGAAAGTGCTAGATTTAGATAAAAATGAAAGTAATTATTTAGCAAATTAGTTCTCTTTATCATGGCCAAGTTAATATTTTCGTTAAACACAAGGCGTTGGATATCCGTAAAGTCAGTTACATGTATGTGCTTTTATTACACTGATGAATTGATAAGCTAGTTAGAAATAGCCGAAATGATATCTTTATTTCAGATTTGAAATTATAAATGTATGTAAAAGTGTTTGTGAATCAGATTCACCCATGAATTTAATTGTCATCACTACACTACTTAATGCATACTCACAAGCCTTTCAATTAAGATAAAATTTTATATTTTAAGTATGTGTCCGTGTTATACTTTATAAGAAACATGAATCTACAGATTATGTGTGTTATGCTGTAACGTTAAAATTGTTTGAATAAAATGGAAGTATTTTGCTAAAATATGTATTAATATTCAGTTTGGCCAATCTAATTATTTATTAACCATTCTTCCGATCCAGATAAATGTATTTAAAATAAGAATAAAAGGGTTAAGACTGATCAATCTTTATATGGAAAAGTAAAGCACGCATAATAGGAATTCTTTAGAAAAAAGCTAAACAAAGGCCAACTTTAACGAAGAGAACAATTCTCCCAACCCCCTCTCAACATAGCAGTATAGATGACATGAAATGTAAGAGAACATTAACTCATAAAATATTGGGTTTAAATTCAAGAGAATTTGAAAACCAAATGAAAAAAAAACTACAACCAAAAAACAGACAAAATCATGGAGTAACTAGAAGTAATGAAAAGTAATTATTTAACAAATTAGTTATCTTCTTCTTCTATATCTTAAGGACCCACGATCAATTTATTGATCATTTTGGCTCCTATGCATGTAGATGGGATTTGCAATGTTTCTGTTACTGGTGGTGATGAGGAAATTATGCACTAGGGGTTTGAAGGCTTGAGGCAATAGACACAAATGTGTCTAGTGTTGTCGCCTCAACTGTTCCTTTTGAAAGATGGTTCCAGTCCCTGATTGTCTTGGGCAGGAATGAGCAGCTCCTACACTGGCTTCTTGCTGGTATGAGCCTGAATTGCTTGTCATGGCCTCGTTGCTGTCTATGGGGGAGAGGGACGAGTTTCTGTTTAATACTGGAACAGTGGACCAGCCCATTATTTATCTTGTACATCATGGAGAGCCTGGATTGTCGTAGTCGTTTCTCAATAATTGATGTCGGGTTTTAGGCTGTTAATTAGGTTAGCTATCTCTACTCGCTTACCACTTGCAGACTGGAAGTTCACATTTAATATGCGCAATGGTCTGTGTCTCCATTTGTCTTGTTGACTGCAGCTCATAGGAGTAGAGCAGTGTGGTGGTTGAAAACTTCGAATGTCTCTTGCTGTGGAGATTGAGTGGTTCAGAGAGAAATCTGGGAAGGTAGAGTCTGTCCCTGCACTATGTGGGTCAAACACAGACTGGTTAATCTGGCAGCCGCAGACAGTACAGTGCCATGGCACGTCAGAATTTTTAGCATGTTGGTTGTAATTAGAAGTGTCGATGCTTTGGCATTGACGATGGAACCATTGCCCACATTGTTCACAGGCAACGCCTCTGTCCTCCACATGTACAACATGGTCACATGCTCCGCAGATCCATGATGACTGGGATTTGGAACTTGATGGGGTATGCAAGGGAGAACCACCAGCACTAGTAGTAACGTTCGGTCCAGGGTTGGGTTCAGGAGAGTACGAATTTGCCAGGAGGATGCAGGCCAGATACAATAGTACCAGTTTTTGACGGCCTAAGGGCCTCTGAGTAGAGCATGATCGGGATGCTCTATGTAAAATGTCTATAAACACACAGTGAGCAGTACCAGCTATGCGGAAGCCAGATACAATAGTACCAGTTTTTGACGGCCTAAGGGCCTCTGAGTAGAGCATGATCGGGATGCTCTATGTAAAATGTCTATAAACACACAGTGAGCAGTACCAGCTATGCGGAAAACTGTCTTCCTACTGAAGTCCAAATTGTCAAATATAAGGCCTATTTCTGGTCTCTCGGGATCAAAAATGAACAATTTATTTACCAGAGCCGTTACCACAATTATATATAGTGTAATATTGTATTTGAAAATAACACAAGCCACTCCGTGTGTTTCAGTCAGAGAGCACACACAGCAATAGAGTTTTGCTACCTTTCAAGTAAGACAGGAAGTGGTAACAAAAATGGCGTCGAATATCATCAATGCAGTACAAACCTCGAAATCACATAATTAGCTAAACATTTTGAAGACAGTGACTTTTGGCTCATCCCTTAACCAGCAATGGTGACATTTTAGATTATAAATCACAGTTTGTTGAGGATTTACTTGACTAATAATGTAATAGCCAAAGAAATATTCCTCATAAAAAACATGTACACTAATCCCATCTAACCGGAAGTACTTTGGTTCCACTTTTGGAGAATTAATTGCGTTAAACACAAGGCGTTGGATATCCGTAAAGTAGGAAATAGGAAATAGGACACACTGATTGCTAGCTATTAAAATGGTGTAAAATATTTAATTAACAAATATATTTGAAATGCTTGATAGTGCATTATGATCAGATGCAGAAACTGTATCAAACTGTTCAAATCCCAAAAATCCCTGCGTAGCCAGGTCAAGTGGTTAGTTTTCGAAGATTGGTCACACCATTTAAAAAAAATATTTACAAATACAGAATTTGGTCTTGAGACTCACAGCTTTTGTTTTTTTGTGATAATATGTTTGTTTTTTTAAATATAGGGCAGTAATGACATTATAGAATGCCAAGATATTACCGGTGAACTATCTCAGATATAATTTTTCTTGAGTGACCAGCCTGGTAAAGTCACAACACATCTCTTTGTGCTACATTTAATCCAGTGGATAAGCACGAGTTATCCTGGGGTTTACCCACGCTGTCACAGCAACACACAAATCACGTGACTGCTAACTTGTCACTATTACGTGACACCCTATCACGTTCGTTTTTTTAATTATATTTTGAATTACTGTTTTCCCCTGAATGTGAAACAACTGTTTGTTTTTGTTTTTTGTGGTTTTTTTTTGTTTTTTTTTTGCTTTACTTCTTTCTTACGAATAATCTGTTCAACTGAATAGGATCTATTCACAACAAAAAAGATTTTGCCCATATGGGCTTGTGTTTAGTTCGTAATCTTCTCAAAATATTCTCACCGTGTGCTTCGGCCTTACGTTTTGATTAATAATCATTAAGGAATTATTTTTTTCAGCACAAGTAAGAGACATGCTGTTTGCTTCTAGTACTAAAAATGATCTTTAACCTTCGATGATCAACAGATTCAGTTTGCTCTACAAATCGTTTTGGTTTGGATTGTGACAAGTCATGTAACTGTGAGAATAAAACAGAGACGTGTTTTGTGGCTACTGGAGGATGCCCATCTGGTTGTGCTGCTGGTTTCTATGGAGACGGTTGCCAAAATGGTAAATACATTTCTAACTTGGTTTAACCGACATTGTAATTTTAATCGGCGTACTATAAAAAAATTGTATTTTTTGACCTACTTTTGAAATTTGTTTAAAGAAAGTAGACGATATGTCTTATTAATTCACCATGCCATTGTGGAGATGAACGCTAATCTAAGTGGAACTTCAGCCACATTCTGTCTTAAAATCATTTATTTTAATTACGTATAATATATTTATAAATTGTTCATTATTTGTAAATTCTCCAATATCGGCACGCTAATTAGGAAATTATAGCATCCATACATGTCACAGATATAAATATATGGGTAATGAGTAATATGGGCGGTATTACTTAGATAACATGCAGAGTAGTGGGACTTGGGCAAAATAGAAAAGAGAGGGGAGGAAAAAAGTAAAACGAAGAAATGGCATTTGAATATTATGACAGTTGATTCACAATATTTTTGTAAGAAGATTGAACAGAAAACGTTTATGTTTTAAATGAAGACTTATGTTGTGTTTACACTTTATCGAGTAAAGAAGTTTACAGAGAAGCTAGTGTTGAATACATACAATACTTTCCAAGTGTTTTTTGTGTTACTTTTGTGAGATTAATTCATATTGTACTTGAATGTCACTGAACGGATTTAATAAAAATAGCCACTATTATTTAAACCACGTCGTCTCTTTTATGATTTACTAAAGATTGTAATTGTGACAATACCTAGGTACTGCTACTAGATGTTCTTTGAATGTCCGAGTTTGAATCTGTTAAATCAAGAAAACAATGAGTGACATTGCACCACGTTTATGAAAACAATTTTTAAACCGTGATTATCAGACAAATCAAACTTTTAAAACATGTCTTTTCAACAAAAAAAAATTTTTTGAAAAATGTTAAATTAATAGCCCTTTATGAATTAAAATAAATATAGTTCCAGTTTGATTTAGAAATTTACTTGAAGTTAATTTTCACATTTATCTTAAGTTGGATGTAATCTTCAAAGATTTTGTCTTTTAATTGTTTACTATTGGTACTACAAGAACCAAAATAACTTAATATATGATAGTTACGAGCAGTGAGTCTCTTAGGTGGAATAACAACCAAATCTTTTTCCTAAATATGTCCTATATAAAACGTTTGCACAGCGAAAAAATATACAGCCTTTGATTTAATATAAAATTGGTCATCAACTGCTGAAAAGATGTAGTTATTATTAGTTTGAAATTCGACAATATTTCGGTGTATATATCAGCGTCTAAATTAGCGACCAGGGTGAGCATAACGTCATATTATCGGGAATTGGGACAGAAATTGGCGGCACTGATGGCTCATGAGGAAAATGGGCGCCCCTCCCTAGAAAATCTTTTTATTATTTAAATACTCAATGGAGAAGTTCGGCAGATACCCTTATTCAGTGTTTCTATTATACAATGGAATCGAGGGTTGGGGTGTGATTTTTTAAAAATCCAAGATTCAGTTTCCTCTCGATTTGTCAGCACACAAATTAGTCTTTAGTCCCCCGGTGCTGTAAACACAATTACAACGGCTGTGACGTGCCACTCGGTAAACTTTTCACACAAGCGTATATTATACAACGCAGTATAGGCGCGAGTAAAATTGGAAGAGGACAATTGATCAGTTCAAGGACTCACGAGTAAAAGAGAGAATTAAAATTTTAGCACATACCCGAATTCAGTTTTGCACATTTCTACACTCATTCTGAAACCAACAGGAAAGATGGTGGTTTAAAATGTAGGTGTCGCTTGGCCTCATAGCCTTTATTTGTGAACTGGAGTTGCAAAAGAGAGGGGGAGGGGGCATTTATACTAAAGGGTCTCAAAATTGTGATGTGAACACCCATTTTTATTATCAACTTTGTATGCATTGTGACGGTTAGCAAAACCTGAGTTTAAAAAGATAATGTTTGCAGACTGCTGTATATAATGATGGGTTTTTAGAACTTGTCCATTTTAGAATGTCACACGTATATTGAGTAGACAAGAGATATTTACAAAAGGCATTGTTTATTCATTAAAATTTTATTTTACCTAAGGCACATCATATAAATTAAAAATGTATAGATTTCCCAATATTTAATAGTCTTAATAATTTCAAATTTAAAACTACAATAATTTAAGTTATAAAAATTTTAAACAACTCTTCGATATACTTTAAAAATTAAAAAAAACAAAAAAAAAACAATAGCAATTTTTTTGAAAAATCATCTTTAAAACTAAAAGTTTAGGTGATAATACCATATTATCAAATGGAAATTGTTTTAAATATGATAGTTAATAGAGCTAAAAATTTGATGATAGCGAAGGCAGCAATACGGGTTAAGTGAATACAAAATGAAGCACAAAAAAATTCCCATTTTCATTGGTATGCTGTTTCTTTAAAATATTTATAGATAAATTGTTATTATTTCATTGTCTTAAACATTGCACAGGCAATGTGTAAGTATTGTGAGTCGTAACAAGTGTGCATCAACTATATTATATAAATTAAATTTTATTTTTACAATGTGTTTGATAACGAAATTGTTTATGCTTAAAGTAAAAATGTTTTCTTTAACAATTAGGCGAATGGTTATGTCACGAACTCATACACAATCTTATTTTAAAGTTTTGTTGCTTAGACGTAGGAATTTTAAGAAATAAAAATAGGATTGTATGCTTAGTGATACAAGGGCTACACTTTTGTCTACAAATATTATTGAAATAGAATGTCTAGAATTGACCTGGGGCTCTGGATGTCTCAACAACTGCAGCAGTCATTGTGTTAACAAGACATGTGATAAAAGGGATGGTACCTGTGATAATGGATGTGAAGCTGGATATTTCATGCACACTTGCAATCAAAGTAGGTAGTAAAGAAACGTGATGTAGTGAAAAGTTGTTTAAAAAATAAGTTTTCCCTTTTAAACAGTTTTAGAGAAAATATAAAAATAATTTTAGCACTAACAAAACGTAAGTAGATGGAAACTGTTGAAAGATTATATGAACTATAATATCACAAGACATAGAGTGATACATCGTGTTAGCATTAACCCTTTTATATATACAAATATATAATAAATAATCGGCATCCTTCCGTCTCATGAGACGATGGTGCATCACCGTTGGGTTGGGTTGCATTTTCTCCAGTGGCTGTGCAGTCGTATCCTTGAGTGACAGTCTTTACCACAGTTTTTACACACGAGTTCCGTGCTTCTAAATGTTTTGGCCTTTCTCCTGGCTTTTCTGTCTGCAGCCTCTTCCATTCTTCGCTCCTCGGCTACCATGACGCCCTCTTTGACAACTGTGCGCCACATAGATCGGTCTTTTGCCTTACACTCCCAGTCACTTGTATGTATTTTATATTAACATGTATACATATATGTATATATATGGCATCCCCCGTCTTTGCGAGGCAATGTTGTGGCTATTGAAACTTCGTCAAATGGCTTACGTTGCAGTTCTTGGAATGGCTAGAAGATGTAGTCCATACTACACTGCCATATAGGAACGTACTAACCGTACACGCCTGATATACATTTTAGTACATCTACAGGGATTTGAGGGCATCTAAAACTAATCACATGATTCCGGAATAAGCAAATCGACAGCTAAAGACATGGTGCGCTCATTTAGGACATCTACAACTAAGTAAACGGTGGAAGAATCTAGGATAACGACAGCTAAGAACACGGTGGGAGAATATAGGGCAGACAACAAAAGACATGGTGGGCTCATTAAGAACATCTACAACTAAGTAAAATATGGAGGTATATAGGATATAACAGCTAAGAACATTGTGGGAGAATTTTTTCCTTAGTCTATGTCATATATGGCAGGGAGAGGACTAAAACAAGTTAGGAATAAATACATAGAATACAAAATACCTTTATTAATAGCCGTATCCTCCGTAGACACACAAACATAGCAGAATCTGACGATGACAGTCTAATATTAATGTGTGCACCATTTGTCTATCAAGCACCAACCTGAATATATACATGTTCACATACATTAATAATGTTAGATATAAACAATTCCGCGACCCTGACTAGAAGCACATTCTGTGCTGTGATTGTGACGTTAACTTAATTAAAACAATAGTTTAAAATCACTTTAAAATTTTTAATTAAAAAAAAAAACAAACAAAAAAATCCTAAAAAATAATTTGCATTTCAATTGGATTCTTGTTGTTACAAATTTGTAAACAACATAAATTGCACAATTGGTTAGTATTACTGGCTTTTCTTTTAAAATAATAGTACAATTTGGTTGTTTTAAAATCCTTTGTATTAACTTATATTTAACTTAGATTTTGTTCGTGGTTTTTCTTGCTGGCAGAATCTTCAGCAGACCGAAATTTGACCCACTGCCTGTCAAACTATTGAGCTAAATCTTGGCTTTTAATATTAACGTATGTTATCAGATTTTTAAACCAACGCCCCAAAAATCAGTTTTCCCCGTTTTTCTTCAAAGGAAAGATAAATCAAATACAATGGCAAAGATTTCACGAAATAAAATTACCAATAACTCTGCTAAATAAGATTATTTCAAAAGAAATATCGCAAATGCGTTTGGTGCGTAACATTTATATATTTTTCTTTTGTTTTCGTGAAATAGTTGGTGTAATAAAGCTGCGGCTAAAAGCTAGTGTGACACTAAACTATTAACATAAAATAAAATAATAATAAATGCATATAATGTATTGTATACGAAAAACTTTGTTTTAATGGATTGTTTAATTTTAATAAATGGCTTAGAATTGCCAATTCAAGCTGTAAATGGAACTAAATTTAAATTTTAAACATTTCTTAAATTCAAACAAATTATACTTATATGATAAAATATACTTTTAAATAATTAAATTACATTACAGAAGTTCATGTGTTAATAAATAAAAAAAAACAACAACATATAATTAAATAAACTGAAAAATATTAGTAGAAATGTCTTTTTTTAGCAAATGGATTGATTTAGAAAATTTCTTTAAAAATATTACATCGTATTTATGCACTCTAATTTTAATATTAATCTTAATTATAAGAATGAAAATTTTTTTTTAGTATTCTGCATTCTTTCTTTCGTCAGCTTGCCCATCAGCCACATGGGGCAAAGGTTGTCAAAATGACTGCAGCGACCACTGTTTGGACAATCCCTGTAATGTCACCAACGGTAGATGTGATAGCGGATGTGAACCTGGATACTTGGGAGATAATTGTATAGTCCGTAAGTATATGTGAATGCCATGATAATATCAAAAGAAAGTCATGTTTTCTTAAAGTTAATTAAAATAGTAAAGTTGATACAAATTATAAGTCGTATAAGTACTTTTTTTGATTAATTATTTTATATTAAAATACTATTTTATAGATATGTTGATTAGTCGAAACAAGTATAGGGTAAAAGAGATAAATAATATCCCAGAAACATTTCGAATTTTTAAAACACTTCACTGAACATGTGTTGAAAATGAGTCAGCTATTTGATTGGTTTATATAAAGAGAGCAAACGACTGACTTGGGTTTCATGACAATAGACTTCTTAAATCTCTATTGAATCTGTCGCTTATGCTATTTATATATAAAGTAAACAAATATAGTTTTGAGTTACTTTCCGTTCATCTTCATTTCTTCACATTTTAGTAATCTAAAATTGGTATTAACTGCATCGAGATTTAACACAAAAAAATTCATTTTATATGGGTCTAGGAATCATATTGTAACATCAATGTATCAAACACTGGTCATACAAAAATAGCAAATCTCAAAAAACAAAATTCCAGAGATATTTAAAATAATTTCAACATTAAAAGTCTGTCAACTGATAACAATTTTAAAAAAAGTATTTGTCTGACTCTCTTAATAATGAAGGCATTTGCCGAAACGTTTACTTGTGTATAATTTATTATTATCATTAAAGCATCATTAATATTGTTATATTGACACAATTTGTTCTTGTCTTATTAATCTTAATTTTTAGTACGTTACTACTTCAAACTAAAAATTCAAAGAATTACAAAAAGACTAATTATATTACTAGGAGTAAAGTTACATTATGTTTTTTTAGGTAAAATTATAACCTATCTTACTGCTGCAATATTATTGGCAAAGATTGGTTCATATAAAATTGTATCGGATATTAAAAAAAGAATTCATCAATATTTTGACTTTAATAAATCTAAAAGAAAAAAAAAATATTTTATTAGAATGTCCAAAACTGACTTGGGGTAGCCAGTGTCTTAAGCGCTGCAGTGAACACTGTCTCAATAAAACGTGTGATTTTGTGAATGGGATTAAAATTTGTGATTTCGGATGTGACGCCAGTTACAATGACAAACTGTGTCTAGATGGTAAGAAACTAAACATGTTACTTATTATTGAATTATTTCTTATCTCTTTGTATCATTTCTTTATTTATCATGTAATATAAATGTTGGAACTTTTAATTTCTCACTTGCTATAGATGTAATAATAATAATAATAAAGTTTATTTGAAAAACACGCTTCATCCCCAAAAGCTCGATATGCGGTACAAAGTCAACCATATTTTAAAAAAAAATCCAACATTAAACTAATATTATGTTAAGTGTATACAACTGATTCAAATGTTATAATGATATACACTTGGTCATAAATGGATCAGAATTAAATAACTAATATTTTGATAACATTTTGATAATGTGTTATTAAATATATATATTTGAAGTTTTAACAGTCTTTATAATCGTCAATATCGCCATGTATCTTACTAAAAGGTTTTATTCACGATTTGTGATTGAAATTCCTGTGAATCCAGGCCATAAAAAAACATGCAGATATACCATGTTTTGTTTTATTGGAACACATCGGCATTGTAGAGTTCGGCAAGATGTGTTTTCTGTGGATAGTGTGTACACACTAATGGACAACATTTGTTGTGTCTAATTCCCCTTTCCTGTTATGAATATGGACAGACTTCTCTTGTGTATGCTTAAAAGATTTTGTGGTCCCGTAAGAAATATGCTTGGGTCATTGTTGGACCATTTGGCAACTTCTTAAGAATCTGGTTATGATAACTATGAAAACATTTGACAAGAATAATTATCAATTAAATATGTAATGTAAGCACATTTCTTTCTAACAATAAATGTTAGTGTTACAAAAAGTAATTTCGTTACGGTGAATACAGTTGCCTAGCTAAGGTTAATGCCACTGACGGTTGGAGGTGAGGCCGAGAACTTCGACGTTCAGCTTCTATGACAAAAAACTTATCATTGGGACAAAAGGCCGTCCTCAATAAAGAGAGAGAGAGAGAAAAAAATAGTTCCTCTCCGCATCCCTCTCCTTTCCAACTGGCTGAATATTGAAACCTCTAGGCCAGGGGTGTCAAACTCAACTGCTCGACAGGCAAAAATTGAAATCACATTTAGGGGTGCGGGCCGAACATGATAAACATTCAATATGCGGAAAATTATAATTAAAAAAAACAACAACAAAAAAACCAACCTGTGTATAAATGATGACAGAAAAAAGTTGTAATCATTAAAAATCATTGGCATTCCCATATTCTTTCGTATGCCAATATGTCAGAGCTGGATGTTTGGCTCATTTTCTTGGCTACAAAAACCAGTAAGTTTGTTTATATTGGGAGGAACGTTCTGTGTCATTGATATTCTCATGACGGACTGCAAGTTTTCATCAGTGAGACGACTCCTGTGTGATGTTTTGTTAATCTTCGTCACAGAAAACACCTGCTCACACAGATATGGACTACCAAACATGCTCAAGGTTCGAGCCCCGCGTGTAGACTAAGCTGGGGCATCTGTTCAGGAATGAAACGAGTGAACTTTGCAGTCTCAACTGTGTCATTCTTTGTCTTTAATGTCCATTACACTACAGCTCTATTAGCACCATCTGCAATTTTACAGGTGCATTTTTTACGTCTCTGACAAATGGGTTAAGAAACAGCTCGAAATTACATTTCTCTTCCTCAAAGCACTTAAACGTCATTCGAACTCGGCGGGAAGTATGCTAAGTTGCTCAGCAAAGTGTGCATTGGGAAACACCATTGCGTTGACTTGGATATAAATGTACGCCGGTCAAGACCTCGTGGGCCTGACATAATTGTTCGGCGGGCCGGATGTGGCCCGCGGGCCTTGAGTTTGACACATGTGTTTTAAGCATTTCCGAAGCCTTTAAGGGGGTTAACTGTGTTCGCTGGGAGACGCTAAATCTACTAATAATATCAATCTTATACTTGCAATCCGTTATCCCTGGGTAAATTCTGCTCAGTTTCAGACCCAGTATAAAAATATTACCATTAAGGGTTTTATTTTTTAGAATTATTTTTATGAAGTTTATTTGTATTTTTATTAGATTTGCTTTCCTAACTACGCACCTTTTCTGTAAATGAATTTGACATATGGCATATGTTAAGAAAAAAAGTGTCCCGTCTTGCTTGATAGAAATAGTTCTACAAAGTAAAATAATTTTTTTTTTAAAAACAATTATCATGTATATTTATTATTATGTTGACACTTTAATAATAAAAGCCTTTGCCCAAATAGAAGTTTTATAACATATACATTTAATTTTTTTTTCCTTAATTAGCTACAAGCCTATCGGACTATACAACAGGTATTTATCACATTTTTTTAAAAGAAATTAAAAAGGCTCGAAATTATATGTTGTTACCATCCATCCATTTAACCATTTGTTAAACCCTCTATCTATCCATCATTTGGTACATATATCCGCCCAATTATAAGTTTATCTGTATGTGTCTCCGTCAGTCTATATGACCGTCAGTCGATCTATCTATCTGTCTTTCTTATATTTTAAATCTATCCGTCTATCTTTCTGTCCGTTTGGATGCCTGTCTGTGTACCATTCTATCTTTCATTCATTCATCAATGTGTCTTTCTATGTTTCTGTATCTGCGACTTTTTAATCTATAATTTATATTTCTGTAGTATTATACATTTGTATAGAAAGGTCTGTCCACCTTGCTATCGAGTCTACATTTTTTTGCAACGTTTACCTTGTGATTTCTTATAGATTTAGCGTAAAAAAATTAGTTTGCCCATGCTTTACGTTTACATTATTTTTGTTCACGTGGGTGAGTTATATTGTTTATTTTGTATCCACACACGTACCGGGTACTATACCAGTATTAGTTGACACAGCCAATGTTCGCTTTCTTTTTTTTTTTTTTTTGAAGCGTGGTGGGTTTGTTTGAAATTATCTTCTTATTTCATTACACTCACAAAATATCAGAGAAAGTCTGGAAAATTTAGAGTTTAATTTGGCGATGCAGATGTATCCACACACGTACCGGGTACTATACCAGTATTAGTTGACACAGCCAATGTTCGCTTTCTTTTTTTTTTTTTTGAAGCGTGGTGAGTTTGTTTGAAATTATCTTCTTATTTCATTACACTCACAAAATATCAGAGAAAGTCTGGAAAATTTAGAGTTTAATTTGGCGATGCAGTCATTTCTAAGCCATTCTATTTTACATGGGGATGCATATAAGACATAGTGTACTGTAGCGTTCATGGGCTACACGAAACTTTCCTAGATATTCCATATAAGACAATGACAGCTGACAGCCGTGTTTGCTGCATGTTTTCGTGCTGGTTCATAATATGTTACAAAGAAATTTCCTTTATAATTATAGTGTATCAATGTTTGTAAGATACTACAGCTTAAATTTTATAGAAATTACGCATTGTTTAAGGAATTAATTTTATGAATAAATAGTTGATTGTTAATCTCACGAGTGTTGATACCGCTCCTTTTGTATTTCTTCTAATCTTTGATTTAGACTTTGTTACGTAACATTATTGAACGGACGATTTGTAAACGAAATAAATCATAGCATTCATAGGCAGTTTTGTAACATAATCATTTAGCGTTTACAAATCTTCTTAACAAACAGGATACAACAATGGACTTGGCAGTGGGATTGGTATAGGAATTGGTGTTACGATAGCTGCTGTTGTCATCATTTGTATTGCTCTGTACATTTGGTTCAAAAGACGACAAAGAGCTTCATCAAAACCACGTGATACAACAGACCGTCATTACGATCATGTAGATCCTACGCAGTCACGTGATACGACAGACCGTCATTATGATCACATAGATCCAATACAACAAAATGAACACGCATATAATACAGCAGATAAAACTGGTAAGTTAGTTTTTTTTGTACGAGACACATTCAATGAAATATATTCAATGAAAGTATTTAATTTCAAAATAATGTGAAACCTAATAATGAGCAGTCATTGCGGTCCATTGGATAGCATTAATAACGGATACAATTAATCCTAAATTTTACGACAATGTGACCAATACTATTAGGAGTTGTTACAATTTTTTAAAAATGTTGGCTGATTTCATTTTTATAAATGATTTTTTTTCAAATATTGTGATTTTGGTGATGTACGTGCTGTTGAAATTGGATGTAGATTGTATTGTTTTTGTAATCGTATGTAATGAGAATGTATATTTTTGTATTTTTTACACCTATTTTGAAGAAAAAAAATAAATGTTCGAATGAACATGGGAATTTTAGGTAGCTTTTTCATGACAGATTTGAATGGGAATGTGAGCGGGGTCATTTTACTGTATCTCTACAAGCTGACTTTGTATGTATATATTTGAAAACAATTGGATAAAATACATTTTAATTAAGCATACTTTGGATCCAATTAATATATATATATAAATATTTATTTTCATTCCAGGAAATGAATATGATATTGTGAAAGATGTCATGATATTCAACGCGAAAACTAACTCAGTAACAAGAAACAAGGCTGAATGAACCGATGAAAATCTTTTTTGTTGCAACGTGACACGTGCCCTTAATACAAATTATTTATTATAATAAAACATTTAATCTTATAATCAATATGAAAAAAAGGGGGGGGGAGACTGGAATCAGGCTGGGCTAGAAGGAAATCTGTGCAAACAAGCTATGCTAAAAGGTTTGCTAAAACTGAATAAAGGAGCAAAAAAAAAAAAAAAAAACAAACAAAAAAATATAACACTTGGGAATATTCTTCTGTTCTCAGTTAAAACATCTCAGATAAATATCTAGGATACAACATTTTAGCTAAGTTTTAATTATAATATGTATGTTAGTCTCTGTTTCTTTGACGAATAAAGCTTTTCATTTTCAGGTTCGACTTTAAACTTTGTTGACATATTACTCGCTTACATCCCAGTACTTAAAATGTATAATAGTCGACTGGGTAAGATGCTTCTGTAACTATCAACTCACTATGATTAAGTTTGAAAATGTCAAAGTCAATCGAAATATTTTAGAATAAGTAGGCCCCCATTTTTTAACATTTTATGAGAAATGTAAGTATACTCTATTAATTTAAGATCATTTAAGCAGAGGCGGCGACGGCTATGAGTCCAGCAACGAGGGCTCTTGCAAAAAAGAAATAGACGAAGTCTGAGTTGATCAGAATTGTTTCATTGTTGTAAAATGAACTTTTCTATAAAATAAATAAAGCTTGAACGATAATATGTATCTTTATTTAAAAAAAAAGAAAACAGTATAAAAATAAAATAATATACTTTAATTATTTACAAATGTTTTAACATAAATACTATAATACACACCGCAGTGATATTAAAATAAATACGTTACATAAAGATGAAGCAGGAGAAAGCATGGATGATTTAGTATTGAATTATTTCTTTTATGAGCGTTCAATTTCGCCATGGTAGTGATTTGACAAAACTACCCACATTGCTAACAGGCACGATTGTTTGCAAGTGAAAAATCATCGAAAAAATAAAGTGGCAAAGTTTATTCTATTCTTTGTTAAAGTGTATTGACTTTCAAATGTGGATTCATTTTTTGATTCACAAACATGTTATTGTATTACCAACTGACACTTTTATTTACTTCCCACAGAAAGAGATGGCTTGTTTGAAATAATTTTTGCAACACATTCAAAATTGCCATAGTAGGTGGAAAGGACATGAAAAATATCCAGATAATATTTTGGAAAGATACAACACTGTCACTGAAACTGTTATGTAGGACTTCCCCGTGCCGTGCACTTTGTTTGACCCCACATTAGATTCATAGCAGACGATAACGTTTGATGTGGGCGTGGTTTAATCTCCTTGATGTATCGTGTTTACTACCCAATACCACTTAATCATTGTTAGTACGTCTAACAGAATTTTGGGAAACTTGAATAATTGACTAGAAAGAAAAACAATGTAGAAGCAATTTCTAGAAGCGTTGGTCCTACTGACGCATTAGTATAAAAAGGGGATTCAGAGATTCATCGAAGGAGATTCAGATAGATATATTTTAATTTTACGAGACAAGTGTTATTATTCTTTGTGTACTCATATGTGTTTATTCGTCTTCGTCATTGTACATTATTAATTGGCACATTGTACTATCTGTGTCCCGGTACAAGATCTACCATACTCTGTAAGTTGATGATTTGTAATTATATTTCTTTTGTTTTGTAATAGTAGTATTACTAAATTAAAACTTATTAATTGTAATTGGTACTGTTTTGAATGTGGGATTTTTATGATTGTATTTCTCTATGGTATCGTCCTTTGTTAAGCACTGTTTGAACGAGCCATAAATAATTTAAAATAGGAGATTAATTTGCCACAATAGAAGGCAGTGCGTAACAGACACCCTTAGTGTTTATACTCAGATGTTAATGAAAGATACAGTGTTATAAATTACATTCATAATAATGTAGACTCAGATTATTAATTTAAAATTTATACAAGACTTCCAGGAAATGAAGTTAACATTAAAAAAATACAACAACTGCTTTTGTGGTTATGCTACATTTTTGTTTCATGTATTTTAAGTTATTCTCATCAAATCAACAAACCTTAGTAAATAAGCATTATTATTGAGTAATTGTGCAATAGCTCATTTGAAGATTAACAACAATAAAAAAAACTTGACAAGCTTTTTATAAACTTGAAAGCACTTAGTTCTCATGTATTTATTAAATGTATTTGGGGGAAAAAAATGGTTACATTTGGTTTATTTCTAATTGCTTCTATTAATTGATTGGATATTTATATAGCGCTGGAATCCATGCTATTTTAGCATGCTCACTGCGATCCGTTTTTCTTAAATCTATTTATACAAAGGAGTCTTTAAATGTTTCTCAAATGATTTTTAATCGATTTCTAATCGACGTAAAGATTGAGCCAACTGTTTCAGAATTTAGGCACTGTCGCTTCAAAAGAGCGCACTCCGTAAGAATTTCTCTGTGTTCATTCACACTAGGAACACTCAGTAAGTACTGTGTTGAAGACTGCAGGTTCTTGATATATCTTTATAAATCAGTTCTTTTAGATATTCCGGTGCAGAACCTTCTATGCAGCTGATGGGGATCTCGTAGAACTTGATGATGTGGTCATATCTCTTTTTCAGCGATACACTGGTTGATCGTTATGGGTTCAAAGTTTAGCTACTAAACAATATCCAACTATCTAGCAATACAAATTTGAGACAAAAATTCCAAAAAATGAGAAAATGTGGACAGATTTCACTGCTTCGTGTCAAGCGACTCGTGAAACGGAACTATTTGTTAATTTCTTAAAGGTATTGCATTTTATTTTCTATTTTTGTTAATGCATTTAATTCTGTTAACAAAGACATTTTAAAAAAAATGTTTTAAATTCCTAAAACAAAATTCAAAACTAATGATCAAGCTATAAGGTTAAATGCACACAAATGTCTTCGATTTGATTGATATATTTAAGCTTAATTAGTACTGCCCTGAAATAATACGACCAGATAGATTCTAGTTTACCTTTCAATAAATTCTCTCTAAAGACAATAATATTATGTCGAATATAATATCTGCTCTTGTACACTTGATAAAAGAATACGTGAAATGCGGGAAAAATTATCTATGGCAAATATTTAGGATACAACAAAGATAGTGGGAAATAGTATAAATAATTTAAAAAATCTTGGCCAAGAGAATAATTAGTTTAAATCATGGGTTCTGACACTTGTTAGAATAATGAGCTCACTGAATTTATTACAAGACATCTGCTGCTACTATTAAAAATAAAATATTCACCTGATTTTTTTGGTCTTGCGCCTTCCTGGCACTGACTTCCCAACTTGTAGTAGTGCGACATCACTTGCTGTATGGATAGCTGGCGTTGTAAGGAAAATCGCAGAAGTTGGATGGGATTTTTATTTGTTGAATTTAAGGCTCCACTTTCAGAAACCTGTATTATACCTCAGCAGAAAAACTGACAGATGCTGAAAAGAAATATGGCATTATAGAATTAGAATGCCTAGAAACAGTGTGGGCTATATTTCGATACAAAAGTATCTTTTGGGTACAACATTCCCTGTTTTGAATTGGTAGATCATAAACCTCTTCTAAATTTCAACAAAAACGAAATGGCAGGATTATAAAATATTCTTTAATGTTGCAAGATTATAAATTTGAGATTAAGACAATAAAGGGAGTGAATAACCACTTGCCAGACATTTTATTAAGAATGATTGATAACAAATAGGTCAAACCATAGCTTCTAAGTAATTCTTGAAAGAGCAATAAATATAGGACGTAGTATTCTGTAGTACACTGCCTACGCAAAACTTTCTGAAACATTCAACAACAAGACTGACAGTTGAGTCGACTGTGTGTTTTTGTTGTGTGTTTTCGTGCGGGCAAATATAAAGAAAAAAAAACATCTTTCATTTTTCATAATACTATATTTTGTAACAAAATGTGTAAAATACTAGGCTTAAATTTAACATAATAGAGTTTATATTTTTATTAGATATTAATAGCATACATAAAATGTTAATTTTAAATCTTTATAAATTGATATAGTTCCATTTGTATCTCTATGAGACTTTGATTTGTTTTAGACCTTGTTGTGTTCTGATTAAGTTAACAAGACATATTTAAAGGAAAAAAATATTAACATTACATAACTCGAAACCTAGCATAATCAGCGTACCAAAATACTTTATTATAAACAGGATATAACAATGGACTTGCCAGTGGGAATTGTTATAGGGATTGGAGTTACGATAGCTGCTGATGGCATCATTTGTATTGCTCTATACATTTGGCTCCAAAGACGACAAAAACCTCCACCAAAACCATGTGATACAATAGACCGTCATTATGATCACGTAGATCCCATATGAACATTCATGTTATAAAGTAGATAAGACTGGTAAGTTCATTTTTTAAAACTCTTTTGGATAGTGTTGTAAATAAATTATAATGTTTTAAATATTGTGAAACCCAGGTATAACGCAATCATTAAGGTCAATGAAATCAAAAAAAGTTAATAACTGGGTCACCTTTATCATGGGTTTTACAACATTCCACACAATACATTGGAGAGCATAAACAAATTGGAAGGTAGCTGATTTGTTTGGTTTATTTTTTAAATATTGTTTAAACTTGCAGTTAGTGAGCTATGTGGAATAGAAGGTTGATTAGCTTTTAGATCATTTGTGATTGTTTGGTGTGAGAAATGTTTGTTATCATTCTCTTTTCCAAGCATTTTGAAATTAAAATGTGCTAACAAATTGTAAATATTTTGGTAAGACTTGTCATGCCCACTTGTTACAGAGAACTTGTTTACATCATATTTCTTGTGCGTGCCCTCTGATCGACCCCGCATGAGACGCTGTGTTCACAAAGGGGCGTGGCTTAGGCTTTTGAAGTAATTTGTTTACACCGCCAGCCACTGAAAATAATTAATCTGTTCCAAATAGTATTTGGTAGAATGATTTAGATTTTTCTAGAAGCTTATCGAAGGCAGGGCTTAGGCGTCGGTAGACCCACCTATATAAGGGATTGACAGGCACGGACAAAGGGAGACAGACGGAGATTTTTCACATAGATTTTCTTAACATTACGAGGCGTGTTTTATTCTCTGTGTATTTGTGTGCTCCTACTTATATGTGTTTATTCCGCATTATTTATTGGCATCATTATTTCTAATTGTATTAAGTGTGTACCGGTACGACATCTGCCATACTGTAAGTTGAAGATTGTAATTTTATTTTATTTTATTTTGTAATAAGTGTGTACCGGTACGACATCTGCCATACTGTAAGTTGAAGATTGTAATTTTATTTTATTTTATTTTGTAATTATCTTTAGACATAATAAATCTTAATTAATTGTAACTAGAAACTGTTTTGGGTCGTATCTTTAATAATTGTTGATTCTATGGTATCGTCCTTTGTTAGGCACTGTTTACATCGAGCCAAATTAAAATTAAAATAGGAGATTAATTTCTCCCAATACAAGTCAGTGCGTAACACACTAAATAGTAAGAAAGTGTGTTACAGCGTAGCCCCACTGTATTTCTCTTAACTTCCCTAATACGCATGCCGATGGTGATACATATCTGTATAAAATAAATAAATCCTAGGGCCTCCAAAGTTTTAATT